CAGATATACTCACACTGTGCTCAAATAAGTACATTGGAATATATTCATTACAACATTATGTACGTAACAATATGGTTCGATTGCTCGCGGTGCACCTGTAAAATGAAATCTACATTGCTGGCTTTAAAAAGATAGGCACAGGTCTGTGTCTGTGTATTGATAGGGAATTGTATTCTAGATATTTTAAGTGAAAGAAGTGAGATTAATAATGGTTGAAAATGGACAGTGGTACATGGAGATTTTTAATGCCAGTTTTCCTTATAAATGTATTGTGGAGATTTGAAATTTTCCCAAATAAAAAAATTTAAAACCAAGGGGCAGAAACAGCAGTGTGAATAATATGACATTATTTGTGTGGATTTTTTTTTGAGGAAATAGATATATGAAGGACTGAAGAAGTATATCCATGGGAGGACACACGAGACATAGTTACTTCTAGGGGGAAAGGGAGGACTGGACAGAGACTGAGTGTTCATATCTCTTTGTCCTTTTTGAAATTAAAAAAATAACATTTTATTATACAATACTATTTTATGTTAAAATAAAATAATTTATTAATCAACCAAATGCAAAAACTAGGCAGATGATGGATAGACAGGCAGACAGACAGGCAGTCTACAAGCTCGCATTGTGGTCTCAGGTGCTGCTTGATGTTCAGGCAGCAGCTCTGGTCCCAGTCTAATCTGTGACCCCTAAAAAAGGTGATGCTGAGACAAGTAAGCTGAGGCTGCCAGGAACCCTGCTTTAAGTTAAGTCTCTACTTAGAAACATGTGACAAAGATGTTGGGGGTAAGAAAAACTTGGTTATAGTGGGTGCTACAACATATATATGAAAAACAACACAAAAGAGCATTTCCATGGGAAGTAAAAGATTTTTTAAAAAATATAATTTCATTGTAGACACTTTTTTTAAAGCAAAAAAGCACCAAAAAGAGATTAAAAGTCATTCTGATCCCACTCCCAGTAGTTACAACGTATATTTTGGTATAAATGGGTGTGTGTTGGCATGTGTGTGATCAGAAAACACATATTTTGTAATCTGATTCTTTCCAGCTCACAAAATATAATTATCTTTCCTACATCATTAAATATTATGTTATGGCATAATTTTTAATGTGTGCATATTGCTTTTCTGCAGTTTTAAATCATCTTAAATCAATTTCTTACACTGAACATTTGGTTGGTTTTCCACCTCTTTAGTGGCAGTATAATTATAAATCATGGTCAATGCTAACAGTTTCTGACTTCCACTAATATATAGCTTCATTTCCTTCCTTTCTATCTTCCTTCAATAAATAGTTATTAAGTGTAAAACCACCAGGCTCAAACAAAGCAATTATAAAAGATATTTTTTAGATATTTGGGGAAATTCAAATGCAGACTAGCTCATGATGTTAAAGAATTACTGTTGTGTGATAATGGTCTTGTTATTAGCTGGAAATGCTTCCTTATTTTTTAGAGAGATATATTGAAGTATTTAAGGATGAAACTTCATGATGTTTATAATTTGTTTTAAAATATTTTAGCCAAAACATTAATGAAGCAAAAATGAAAAAATATCTGTTAAACTTAAGTTTGCAATTTTCATTTAATAATATATCTTAAACTTCATTTTTTACCTAATTTTTATAGCTCCTATTTATTATTTTTATTATTTTTTTTAATGAAGGTACTGGGGATTGAACCTAGGACCTTGAGCATGCTAAGCACACACTCTACTGCTGAGCTATACTCTCCCCCACTAAAAATATATCTTAAAAATGAAATACTTTGTGCAAGGCACTGGACTATCAACTGGGAATATGGTAAACAAAGCAGACCCTTGCCATCCTGGCAGAGCACACAGACTTTGAGGAGCATCTTCCTGTTAGGAAGTTTCCAATGCAATATGACTATGAGCCTGCTTTTTTTTATCCTCTCCACACCATCATCACTGCAGGTGTGTTTTCCCAAGTTTAAAAAAATCTACCCTCCCAGTGGCCTTAAGTCCAAAGCAATCCCCTAACTGTGGTGCACTAATATCACATGTCAAAAGTCAGCTATGTGGTGCATGGTGTCCCTGGGATTCAGTTCAGCAAACTTTTCCTGGGCACCCACGTGTGCCAGGGCATGTGAAGGTACTAGTGGATGGCCTGCATCATTAAAAAGTCCACAAACAGTAAATGCTGGAGAGGGTGTGGAGAAAAGAGAACCTTCCTACACTGTTGGTGGGAATATAATTTGGTGCAGCCACTATGGAAAACCATATGAAGAGTCCTTAAAAAATTAAAAATAGACTTACCCTATGATCTATGATCCAGCAATCCCACTCTTGGGCATATATCCAGAAAAGATGAAAACTCTAATTTGAAAAGATACACACACCCCAGTGTTCACAGAAGCACTCACTATTTACTATAGTCAAGACACGCAAGCAACCTAAATGTCCATCGACAGATGATTGGATAAAGAAGTTGTGGTATCTATATACAATGGAGTACTACTCAGTCATAAAAAAGAATGAAATAATGCCATTTGCAGCAACTGTGGATAGACCTAGAGATTATTATACTAAGTGAAGTAAGTCAAAGACAAATATCATACATCACTTATATATGGAATCTAAAAAACTGACACAAATGAACTTACTTACAAAACAGAAACAGACTCACAGCATTGAAAACAAACTTACAGTTACCAAAGAAGAAGGAGGGAAGGGATAAATTAGGAGCTTGGGATTAGCAGATACAAATTACTATATATAAAACAGATAAACAACAAGGTCCTACTGTATAGCACAGGGACCTATATTCAATAGCTTGTAATAACCTATAATGAAAAAGAATATATATATATGTATAGCAATTATTATGCTATTCACCAGAAACAAACACAAAACTGTAAATTAACTATACTTCAATTGAAAAAAAAATGGATAGCCTGCTATGCCCCTGCCCTCCACTTACAACCTAGGAGTGTGCATGGTATGTGTCACTCAAGCCAGCAGGAGGGAGGGGAGTTGGCTGGAAGGGTGATGGAGACAAACTTCTTCAACGGGGGAGAGACAGACCTCAGTGAAATGGGGAGATTCCGCCTGGAAAAGGAATGAATAGTCCCATGTGCCCACCCAGGCCTGGTGAGAATAAGGACCCAGATAAGCCAGGGGTTGGCAAACTTTCTATCTAAAGGACCAGACAGTAATCATCTTAGGCTTTGCAGGCCAAGAGGCAACATCAGGGACATCATGCAGGCATAAGGGAGAGAATTTTCCAATTTTGGAGGAGGGGACAGAATTCAAAATTTTATTTATGGACCCTGAAATGTAAATTTCATGTAATTTTCACAAGTCAGAGCTATTATTCTTTTGATTTTTTTCCAAATATTTAAAATTGCAGAAACCATTCTTAGCTCTTGGGCCATGCTAGGCTGGTTTCAGGGTTTGGCCCGCCCTCATAGTTTGCCAACCCCTACCTAACAGGAGGGGCTAGTTATTCACTGAATGGTTTGTTTCTGGAGCTGCTCTTTGCTGTGGGGAGCAGAACCGGCCTGATCTAGCTGTCGACACCTGGGTTCCTGGTCCATCTCTACACCTGACCAGCTGGGGGTTCTGAGGGAAGATTTAGCCTCTCGGGACCTCACTTCCCTCGTTCCTGAAGCCCGAGGATACTATCACCCTACTCACAGGCTGTGGTGAGGAAAATATCGTCTGGGACACTCCTCTTTGTAACAGGAAATACTGGGTTGAGGATGGACCCTGGGTGCATCCAGTCTCATCCCAAAAGGTCGCAGAGTCCAGTTCTGCCCAAATCCCTCCGGAGCCGGCACACTTGGTGTAGCCTTGAAGCAGACTCCCCGTAACTAGGGTACGCTTGTCTCTCAGGGGTGCCAACCCGAGCGACCCGCCCTGGGTCTTGGAACTGGCTTCTCGGCAAGCCAGAGCAGGGGTGGGGTGAGAGCAGCCCCGCCATTCCGATGGGACGCCGGGGCACGGGAGGGTCGCTCCCGCCAAGCCCGGGCTTCCTTGGTGCGCAGGGCCCGTCGGGTCCCGCCGCCCAGAGCATCACTCGCCAGCAAGGGCGCGGTCCGAGCCCACACCGGCCAGCTCCAGCTCGGAGGAACCCGGCACTATCACCCTGTCCCCTGCGGCCGTTCCCCGAGGCCCAAAAGGCCGATTCTGGCGCCACCTCGAGGATTTCTCGCGCCTGCCGGCCGACCCCAACACTTCAGGCGGTACCCGAGGGCGCGCG